AGTGTTAAAAATATATGGCAACGTGATTCCTGTTTGTTGCAACCTGAGTTATTGTAAAATTTACATGAGGGGTTTTTTTAATTATGTTGATTCAAACACATAAAGTGTTAAATTTACATTTAGTTGATGTTAAAAAGGTCTGGCAACATGATTTCTGTTTGTTTTGACATGAGCTATTGTGAATTTTACAGGGTATGTGGTTAGAGAACATAAAAGTACCGTAATATTTTATTTGCGTGCGCGTTCTTCGTCATTCGGTTGCATTTTTATTTGGTGTATTATTTGTGAAAGATTATTAAAAAAAGCTATTTAAATATTAAGAAGAATGGGTACAGAAAATGTCTTTGGGGAATCGGCGGGCATATATTTCGTTGTTGATGGTGATTTAACCATGGGGAATGAAGTTGAGACTTCACTGCAGCAAAGCCAAGCCACTGAAGCTTCACGTGAAAAAGAAAATTTGAAAGACGTCGTATGTGGTAAAATGAACTTCAGTGAAGAAGTTTATCAAAGAATTCTCGGTAAGTTCTTTGAGAATCTGCGAGGAACCATATGCATATTTATGTTATTGACAGATTGCGGAATGGATGTAGAAAGTCTGTATTTCATCAACGATGGGGACATAAATGAACTTTTCCCTGCATCAATGCTCGGAACGAGAGTAAAGTTTAAAGAAAGAGTTGCACGTTGGCGACAGAATGAAGTAAGTAAATCATTTTCACATCAATGATAAGCTTTGCATACTTTTTTTATTTTAAGGCTGATACCATTTCGTCAATAGGATCATGCAAGAGTTGGATAAATTCTAGCCAAGAGTCTCACGACTCGATAAGAGACATGGAAGCAAAGAATTTAAAGTTAATACTTAATGCCACTGAAAGAGGTCAAAGCATCTTTAAACAATATAGAGAAAAGACCGTGCTGTCAGATGTTAGTCGTGACATTTTGGTAAATACCATTGTTGACCACTTCTCAGCGCGATCAGTGCCTATGACAATGAAAGATATCATCACCTTTTCTGAGCAAATAACAATTTTATTTCCCAACGAAGACATGGTATGTATGCATTTTCATATTCACTTGCTATCAAAATTTGTAAATACATATGTAAAGGAGGATCAAGTTTCAAGCGGATAAAAAATAGCACTGATTTTTAATAATTTTTTAGCTGACAGATTTTTGCCCTTTTTTCCTTATAAGCATGAATTTCTTACGAAATAAAAAGTGGAAGAAAGTTCGAAACTCTGATTTATATGGTTTCGGCTAAAGCTTGGATACAATTTTTATAGAAAAATAACAGAATAAATTTAGCTTGAAAAACGTTGTGAATATTAAAAAAAAAAAATTCAACACTTAAATGCATTTATTTTACTTTTATTTAGCGCTATTACTGCAACCGTCGAAATGGCAAAAATCCAACAGGCAAACTTTATGATAAGGCAACAAACATCCGAAGGAAAATAAAAAAAGAAACAGGAGCACTAAGCGTTGCACCTAAATGTCAACCCACTCAATCAAGTTTGTCGGAGCAGGCGAGCAATAGTAAATTTAATTTTACAAAAACGTACTTATCTATGTACGTGTATGTATGTATATACCACTATATTTGGCCCACAGTTTCGTGAGTATATTGATTGCTTCGTGGGTTTCGAAATTTTTTCGTTTTTGTCGCACGGTGCAATACCTACACGTACATACATACAAAAATAAGTACATACACATGTAAGGAAAAACCATGATTAATATTTCCTTCGATTAGCAGATGAAAATGACTTAGCCATGAAAAATTGGCTTTGAAATAATGTAGAGCCTTGGGGCGATGTTGTAGAAAAATGGACGAAAACAGTCAAATTAAGAACCGCAGAGATTTTAAATGAACACGCAAATATTTTAACTAATTGGCCGCTGCTGAAACACAGTCTTGGATACACTTTGGTAAGTTTAGCTTTATATATGTACCTATTTTAAATTTTCTTATTTATGATATAAAACTTTGCAATTTGTATATTTTCAATTATACTGCAGGTTGAAATTGATTTTGAAGCGAAATTTCCCAACTGTTCGCAGAATTTGCTAAACGAATGGCCAAAATTTAGAAAGTCAATTATACCTTACATGAAGACAAAAATAAGAGATGCAACGTCCATTGATATGCTAAAAAAAATTGACGAAAACATCAGTACTGGTAAAGCAACAAGTCTAATATTTATTTTTTCAAGTATTTATTTTATTTTCTTATGCAGACTCAATGGATTGCTTATTGACACTGCTTTTGCATGCGATACTTAAACCGTCATTAATTTCCGTTGGACAAACTTCTGGTGAAAAACGGCTTAAATGGAAGCCATCAATATGTGATGCGCAAGCAGTGACATTGCTGCATTGCAGCAGCATAAACGATTATCAGAGGATGTACCACGAATTAAAGATTAAGTTAATTCAAGTTAAGCTAATCAAGTTAAGTTAATTAAGTTAAGTTAGCTCACCTCCTGTACATATTCATATTCTTCAAAACTATCAAAAAGCAATCCGTTTAAAAAGTATTTAAAACAATTTGATACAGTTTTTATGCAGAGCTTAGAAAAACTCAACAAATTTTTATAAAAATTGTGGACTTTTAAAACTTTCAAACTTTTTTGGGCATGCAGTTTTATAGCCTCTTAAATTTTAGTCTGATAAAGCGCAAGTT